AAAAAGATAATAACCACAATGAATTATACCTTAAGTTTATCATATAAGGCAGTGCCCTTAAATAAAACTTTCTCAAATTCAATATGACCATTGATCTAGCATGCAAATTAAGTAACATTCTCTACTAATTGAATGTTATAGTCATCAATCAATCAATCAATCAATCTTTATTCAAACAACTAGCAGACGACAGTCTGAATTGAGTTGTTTTTACAGTTCATAAAATTGACGTTAAACAACACTAATGGTTAAAAATTACATAATTTACAAGATAATGACACAAATTCGGTAAAGAGCTATAATAATGCCTTTTAACACAAGTAGAGGTAAAGGTCAATGCTAGCCAAACTCAGTCACTCAATGCCCTACTTAAGTAAAAGCAGGGAAGAACTGCATTTAACTAGCGTTTAACAGCTCAACAATGTAGGGAATGGGCGATTTTTTGTACCGTTCTATGCGGCAATATGGAGTGTCAAACTTATGTGCAGAACGTGTACTTCTACCAGAGATATTCAAATATCAAATTACACTACGTTGTACTAGACTAGAGTTTACGAGCTGTGGCAGGTCATGTAAGGTCTCCGCCACCCAGACATTAGATCACACATCTGTCCACCTTTTGTACTTCCTGCTTCCCATGATCTTCAGCAGGGCACTCTAACCTGTCAGTAGTGAACACGCAAGGCAATCAGGCATCTTACAACTGTCAACACGTGGTTAGGCATAGGAAAAAAATGTTGTGTTTCCTGTTCCAGTCCTGAAAAAATTAGGGTCGGTATGTAGGGATTATCTTAAATTTCTTTTCTTTTTTTTTTTAGACTTTGGCTGGATCTCTATATAGTAATTCAACGTATACCTTACAGTTTAACAAAGCTTGCAAGAGGATACTCATACATGTAGTTCCAATGTCAATGTTGGAAAACTGATTGTACAATGTTTCATCACTCAGGTGTCAGATCATGGAGCTAGAAAAGGTCGACCATCTCGAAAAATTTGTGTCCTTTGCAGGGGTCCACACAAAAAAGGCTAGGCTCGGCAGTTTTTTTCTAGGGTCAGGGAAACAGAAAACAGTTTAAAACAGTTTTTTCCTAGGCCAAGAGAACACAAAGGTAACCAGCCATCTTACAGTACACACCAACTGTCAACGCGCGGTAATTGAAAACTGTGGACTGCAGCTGCCTTGAACAAGACCGGCGTCTGCCCCGCATTAGATGATCTTTTCATCCAGACACAAACCACTGTGTAGTGTCAACTCTTAGTAGTCCATCAACACACCTTGGGTGAACTATAACAGCTGTATCCAACTTGTTCAATGTCTGCCTATTTATGTTTGAGCTGTATATTTAGTCTGAGAGCCAGCCTTGTTCAGCTCTTGTCCGCCACAACCGTTTCTATTCAATCAGCAGAGCTTGGATGAAAGGAGACAGCTGTCCAAATGTCTGTTACCCGGTCTATGTTTGAACTAGCCTGCCTTGTTCAGGTCTGAAGTTTGATCCAACAATTAATAGTCAATCAAGAGACACCCAACAAACTGTATACAGGGGCTGCATGCCCTTTTTCGTTAGGCAAAATCAGGCCTTTTTAGTCTTCATAATCCGTAGGCAGCCTCCCAAAAAAATCAACGTAATTCGTAATAGTGCATCAGCCACAAAGCATTAAGTCACAATCAGCTCTGAGACTTAAACGTAATTCGTAAAATTTTGCTTAAGTCGTAATCCCTACTCCCCCATGCAGGCCCTCTGTAAGGTCTGTTTCAAAAGTTGTCTTTGTTTCAAATAGGCTGAGCATAGTGAATAGTGTGTAGGTGTTTACTCTCTAAAATGTCCCACTGAGAACACTTGTTAAACTCGTCAAAGAAAGTCAGATTGCTGCTCTTAAGTTTAAGGAGTCTTAAACCAGCGAGAGACACCTTAAATACTCAGCAGGGCAGCATCTTTAAGAGTCAAGGGCAAGAGTGACAAGATGTTGACTCCACCCATACCATTTCCCCTCTGTTTTCAATCAGTTCATCTATTACACAGTGAATCCATTTTGCTTTCGCAGTATGAGGGAAAAGGAGGGCTACGCAGTTTTTTCTCAAGTTCAGGTTAGATTTTTAAAGTAATCTGAGTTGGAAATAATCTAGTAGTACTTAAAGTTTCAGTAAGGCACATTTGAGTAGAAGTATGATTAAATTTTCAGTGGAGTTTTCAATAGAGTGACAGAGTTTTGTATTATCCACCTCTCAGAATGTCTCCTAGCGTAGCAGTAAGTCATTGTCCATAAAACTTCTTTACACACTCTACACAACAAGAAGGGGAGTCTTATGAGAAGTGATCATACTACTTAAGAACTCAGACTCAAGGGCAAGGACAGAAGGGACAAGACATTTGTTAGTAGTTAAATCTTTGGACTGTCCATAAGATTCTTATAAATTCTCAACACAAAGGGGAGTGTTAAAGAAGTGATCATACATCTTATACACAGCAGGGTAGCATCTCTCAGATTCAGGGTCAAGAGCAAGAGAGACCAGATCTTGGCTCCAGTCTGTCCATTATTCTCCGCCCCAAATCAGCTCCACCTGGTTCCATTTTGTGAAGGTCATGACCAAAGCTACTGGTGGTGCATGATGGGCCAGGCAAGGTTAATTACCTGCTTCTCGGAATCGCCTGTTAAAAATTTTACAGCTTCGAGGGAAGATAAATTTTCTTTAGCTGTGCACGATTTTTTGGGATGTCTGCAGGTCACCGAACCCCATCCTATATGATAAATAAAAGGTCAGCACATGAACGTGTGCACACACAAGCACGTGCACACATACATGCACACACGCACGCACACACACACACATGCACACACACATGCACGCATGGGCGCCTGCGTACACGCACACGCACGCACACACACACATTGACACACACACATACATACACGCACGTGCACACACACACACACCACACACACACATACATACACACACACACACACATATGTACTCACGTGCACACACGTGTACACATAAACACAAACTCACACACCAAAGCAATTTTGAAATTCGGCAACGAACCCTCTGGCGATCAACAAATTCATAACTGATAATTGAATTAAATGTTCTATTTGTCTCCTACAGTGGCAGACCCGTGTAAGGATGGGAGGAACGGAGGCTGTATGCACCAGTGTGTCCCCTACAGCGGCCGGACAGAGTGTCGTTGTTACCCCGGATACAGGCTGGCTCCCGACCGCAAAACCTGCCAAGGTGAGGCGTCAAGGACTCGTGTTTGCTTTTACAGGGCTCAAAAACAATATTTTTCTCTGTTCTTTCTATATTAAAAGGCTGGCTTGCCACCAGAAATCCTGCCAAAGTAAAGAATAGTTCAGTAGCGTTGGTGCCACCTTGTAAGGGGTGACAAATTGAATGTACAAGTAAAGACTGGGAATTATTTGACAAAAGAAATCATAATATTTGGGTCGATATGATATAATTAGAAAACTGCCTGAAACTTTAGTGAAAGACCACTTAGACTATGTTTTAAAACCTGACTTGTGTTTGCTTTTACAGATCAAAAACAATATTTCACTCCTTAGTTATAGTATCAGGGAGTATATTGCAGGCTGGCTTTCTACCAAAAACCCTGCCAAAGTAAAGACAAGTTCATTATTGCCGGAAGTTCCCTGTTGTCCTTGAATTTGTAAATTGGAAGTGGAGCTGGGTAAAACATAACGGGTGCCAACGTAAAGACTAGGAATTATTTGACAGAACTTAGTTGGGCTGCTGGTATAGATAGAAACTGTCTTTGGCAAGAAAACTCTTGGGACCAATAAAATCTCGTCTGTGTGGACAGGTGGTCACTGTAGACCGGATTCTTGATGCTTGGGTCTATGGCGAAAACTATCTAAGGGACCACCAAAAGTGGGTGCCATCCTCTGTAGTTTTTGACACTACCTACGTGGTGCCCAACGACATTGGGGAGCGGGTGAAAACTACAGAGGATGGCACCCAGGCTACAAAAATTGGTCACATTGGCCAGGTGGTCCTTATGTAGAGGTGGATGCTTTTACAGGTTGGAGATACATGGAATCTGATATCCATTTTTTCATTCCCCTTGCTAAGAAATCAAACTCTGTTTCCAAAATTTGGGACTTTTTAAAAGTTTTTCCAGGACATTTTTGTCTCTTGTCATCCCTAACAGCAGGTGGATTCTCATGTTACAAATTGGACAGGTTATTTGTATGGACCCGTCAAACACAGTGTAAAAAACTGAATCAAATTTCTCCCCTGAGACCAACTCTCCCCATCCTTAGCCTTCATGACAGACTGTTTATTTATTTTCCTTTTCTTGCTTCAGTTTATCTAGGAAAGTCTTTATTATCTTTCCTGTTTCTGAAGTGTGAAGACAAAGTGGTTTCTTGCTTCTGTTTGTTTTCGTCGAATCTTGAAAAAGCAAATGAAGAAGCCGAAGTGATGAAAAATCAGTGATGAGAAAACAAGTGTGTGAAGACTTTCGGAAGTGTTTTTCAGCAGATTGAAGCGTTGCCCCCACAGGACTGTTTAATTTGGATACACGATCGGAGCGTGCCACTAAGACTATGTACAACGTCGTGACAGAATGTTTCAGATAACATCAGTCACTTCCGATTTCGAAGGTCGTTTCGTGAAATTCAAGGTCACATTGTTTTAAGCGCTACATTTCAACCTGTGAAGGTCGTAGGCCATATTCCTGATAATGAATTATGGGTAATGGGGGGGGAGAGAAACATGTCTATTTTCATCTTCACTTGTCAATGAGTCTATTTTGCCATTAATTATAACTGGCTTGCCTCCACATTACCCAGAGTTCCCTGTTATTCCCAGAAAGCAATGGGATCTGGAATATGAACTTACTTTTGATGTCTTACCTGTTGTTTCCAAGAGTTTCCCTTGGAAACTAAGGTAGACTTTATTGTTCTAATGTCTTTTTGTTGTTTTCATTTGCGGATTTGCCCTCCGCATTACCCACAGTTCTTTTCTCTTGCCAGCATGCAAAGGGATCCGAAATATAGCCAAATGGCCTTCTTCTGTTTTACAATGTACATGTACATGTCGACATTTACAATAGCAAGCTTCCTTTAGATATTTGGAAACTTTGTTTTTGTTATTTGCAGATATTGATGAGTGTGCGCTGAACAATGGAGGCTGTGCCCAGGGGTGCGAGAACGTTCCCGGCTCGTTTGTCTGCAAGTGCAGCCCCGGCTTCCAGAAGGGCACCGATGGGAAACAGTGCTACAGTCAGTATTTCTCCACAGAGTTTCATGTTTGCCTTTTGTACATGCTACAGTCAGAACTGCACAAGAAGACCATTCAGGGAACCAATAAAGTCTGGTCTATTGAACAAGTGGTTGGTTTAGACAGGATTTTGTCAAAGGGAAAAATTGTCTAAAGGAAGACCAAAAAGTAGTCATTGGCCAAGTGGTCCTTATACAGAGGTGGTCACGTGTACAGGATTGACTGTATCTGTATAACTCAATCAGTGTAAACCACCCTTTGGTAAGCCAATTGACAACATTTCTTAATTAAAGGTCTTTTAAGTGTAAGTAGCCATCAATTCAATCATTGATGAAGGTTAGACATCCAGGTTCAACATTACGTAATACACGAAATAGATCATTCCAATCTTCTGTCTAGTACAGTGGAACTAGTCTATGGCAATACAAAGTCACTCTGTACCATCAGTATACAGTTTACATGAAGCCATGGAACAGAATCCTAACACACTGTACCCTGTGTCAGGACAGCCACCCTGTCCATATAAACACTACTGACATGTCCCTAACTCTATCCCTCCAACCCTGGAGCTGGAATGCTCAGTTCAGACACACATCCTTGTTTTGCCCTAAAGACTTGTTGATGGACGAAGTACAGAGGAATTTGGAAGGTCTTAGGTTTCGCTAAGTTCGTTACCACTAATCAGTGATTGAAAACTTGAGGCAAACCAGAGGTTTTCTTTCACAATCTCATAGAATGCCATCATGAGCACCTAATTTGTCAAGAGTCTAGGATATTAAATGAGTATTTGAACTTCAAGATGCCAGTGCTTACCAAAAACCCTGACCTTAAACATGGCTTCTTCTGTGGAATGAGATATGGAATTACATCTTTGAAAAGCACACTGAAGAACTTTTGTTAGAGTCAAACATATTTGGATTGAGGAAAAGCCTTCTGACACTGGTCACATTGAATTGGAAAAGACACTTGGAATTTGAAAAATGTAATTGGCTTTTAAGTGAAGTCTCTTCAAGGATGAAAGGTATGAATGAAATAAAGATACTTTAATTTGTGTTACAGTAGAAGAATTGAGAAGCAAGAGAGCAAAACCATTCTTTGTCACAAAATTGGTGTCAAAAGCAAACATCACTTTAATTTGAAAAATTTGAATTTAACATTAATTTTGTTGTTTATTTACAGGGATTGAGACACATGTAGTCTACGAATTGTTGACTTTTCATCCTAGAAAGAAAATGGAAAAAAATGAAATTGAGTAATAAACAAATACATTGTAGATACATGTAAGAGAGCAAAAGCCATAATTTGCTGCAAATGTTGTCAAAAGGCAACTTTACTTTAAAGTTTGAATTACACAATGTGTCTCTCTGTTGACTGTTTACAGGGATAGAGATGGAGATTATAGACTCGTGTGTTCCCAACAACGGTCGCTGTTCAGACATCTGTAGACACACGTCCAGCGGGCCTGTGTGTGAGTGTAAGGATGGGTACAGGCTGGACATAGACAACAAGACATGCATCGGTAAGTTTTAGAAAATTATCTTTTTTCTCTGACAAAATGAAAAAATTGAGGAGTTGTATGCACTATTGATCAAAAGCACTCTTGGTCAAAAGCATCCTTCGTATAAAATACGATAAATGAGTTTTTCAAACGGTATAAAGATGTCTGTACATTTTCTTCAACTTTATTTGAAACTAATATTAAATTGATTAACTGTCCCTTTCTTGTTTTAAAACATAAAAAGAAACACTGCATTTTGCTGACATGAGCTACTCAACATATAGCCTAGGCCAGTCCAGTTTGCTGTTGATACAATGGGTGTCATATAGTTTACATTAAACAAGAAGGATCAAAATGATCAATGGATCAAGTACATGTAGGAAGTGATGTCAAATTCAATCTTAAAGTTTAGTAATATGCTTTTACTAAATTAGATGAATACATGAATGATAGCAACCAGAACTGAATGTATTGGAAAGGCTTCAATGTATGTCTTCAATGTTAATGAGATTGTTTTCCTTAGATGCTGATGAGTGTAGTGACGGGAGCTCGTGCTGTCAGCAGATGTGTAACAACAATCCCGGTGGCTACTCCTGCTCCTGTCACTCAGGCTTCCGCATCAGGAAGGACGGATGCGAATGTGAAGGTAAGGTCCCCTCTCACATTTTGTTCAAAATATTTACTGTAAGTCTTAGAGTATTTACTTTCACAGTGGTTTATTTTGCCGCAGACGGGAATGGGAGGTTTTCACTGTTGGAAATTCATTTTATTTGTCGTTCGAAATCACTCATTCGCTTACTTAGTCCCGTAGCAGGAATCTGTCTGACAGTCCACAAAATTCCTCCATCCCTGGCAGTCATCAGCCAAAATATTTCATACTTTGCGTCCAAAATACTTTGCAGTTGTTTGACTTAGCTTGTGGTGGTAGGTCAGAAAAGGAGATTTTGTGGTGTTTGAAATTCATGCTTAAAAGATTTTTGTAGTCTACAGTTACAGTAAGAAACACATAATCATGGTACCATGCACTCAGGGTGAAAAACTTAGATAGTTAAAAATTTAAAAAAACACCAATTTTTGTAATGTAATTTTTTCGCATTAAAAAATCTGAAAGTAGTGCTATTATGACATTATTTCTATGCATTTTCTTTTTATGCCCACAGATATTGATGAGTGCTCAGCAAACAATGGAGGGTGCGACCATACCTGTCGGAACACGGAGGGAAGTTTCGAGTGCGAGTGCCAGGGAGGTTTCATCTTGGACTTTGACAAAGTCACATGTCTCGGTGAGTGCAACGTTTTAAGTACAGTCAAACCTTTCTATGTTGACCACTTGAGGGACTTGAGTTGTCAACATAGACAGTAGGGAAAAGGTTAATTTGAAGCCTTAAAATCTTTGCCTTCATTCCACTTTCGTTGCTGTTGAATTGCTGTATGTTGATGCAACTGTTGTTCTTTCTGCATATTCTGGAGGTTTTGCTTAATGCATGTCTCATCCAAAATTATGTGACTGTTTACTTTTTAAAGCTATCATACAAATTAATGTATGTTACAGCGTTATTTTGTAAAAGTATGCTTTTTATCTGTAATTTAGCACTCCTATCCTTGTTATCTTTTAGTTGATTGAATTGATGATTGAGCATCATGCTTTTACTTGTATAATATTATGTTGCTCGCCAATGCTTGTTGTCTTTTTGTTGATTGCAAAGTTTTGTTTGCGTGTTTTAGCCAACCCCTATCTGCCAATCGAGGACTGTTTAGTTTTCAAATTTATTATATGTTACAGCATTATTTCGTAAAATAATGTTTTTTACTTCAACGTACAATATTTTTAGCACCCCAATGCTTGTTAATATCTTTTGTTGATTGCGAAGTTTATTTTGTTTGCGTGTTTTAGCCAACCCCTACCTGCCAACCGAGGTGCCCTTACTGCCCATCATCAAGATCGCTCCGTCCAAGCCCGTTCCGTTCCCGTACCCGGACGAGAATAACGGATATGACGCGCTCATTGGTGTCCCGATCAGACAACGTGGGTACTCACTTGTCATGACAATGACAGTGAACTTTATTGTATATTCATGCCCTACATGGGCCAAATGCACTGGGTTAGATAATAGAAGGAACAAGTGCTACATTACATCGGTGAAGGTTGGACATCCAGGTAATAAGATAACCAAAAATTCAGTTACTCAGGCAACTGGATATGATTTTATATCCAGTCATACATGTATCCAGTTCTGTTGCTTGAATATTAACTGTTTTTGACTACATTACTACTGTATGTTACATATACATGTATGTCTACAATGTGATGGAGAGTGTATGCACCATACCTTTGTTTATCTAGTACATGTTGCAAGTTGTTCATTGGCATTGAGGGAGGTGACAACACACATGCATATAATGTATATTATCATCATATTTTTATTAAGAAATTTACAGTGCAAGATGAAAGAATATCATGTGCAGTATCATGAAGTGTGATACTTGCCCTCCAGAATGTGACCGTGGCACGTTTGGTAACCTGTGTACGCTGACATGTGAGTCCTGCCTGTTTGGAGGTGTGTGTAACGTGGAACAGGACGGCTGTGACTGCCCCGCAGGACGTACCGGGCTCGTCTGCAACGAGAGTAAGTATTTTGTAGGGCCAACGTACACTGACTTAATCTTAATGACATTTTGAAAAATATGCTGCCAAACCACAGGAATAGACAAAGCTAATATTGTGAATTTGTGGTAGTACATGTGTAGCGACTTTTAAGATAAGCCGGCACATACTGGCCTTTTGCGGCATTTAAGAGTCAGCACTGTACTGTTCCGTGGAGCCTCAGCAGCCTGGGTGCCATCCTCCATAGTTACTGCTGGCCTCCTATTGTCGCTAGCTACAATGGATTATGGAGGATGGCACCCAGGTGATACACTGAAGGATCTTGAAATTGCATTAAGATATCTATTTTTCCTACTATGTAAGTAACTAATCTTTTTGTTTTTTAACAGCCTGTGATGCTGGTTTCTATGGGATGAACTGTAAGAGTGCGTGTGCCTGTCAGAATGGAGGAACATGTAACCCTGAGGACGGCTCCTGTAGCTGTCCACCTGGGGTGAAGGGAGTCAACTGTGAGGATGGTAGGAAATATCATTTTTATTGTCTTTTGCTTTAAATTTTACATACCCCCTATGCCTTTTCTGTGATGTGTCTATTGTGTAAGGCATAGCGTAGTGTGCTCGTAACCTCTAGCTCCCAGCCCCCATCGCTCGAGATGGAAGGATGCCTACAACTACAGTTTGCACTCCTACTACCCTATGCCTTATCACCAGTATAATGTTCGTAAATCCAGAATCATTTAAGATGGCTTTCATATCATGTCAATATTTCTCAATGATTGTCTAGGATAAGTCTGCTTCTCAAGTTATATTTACCACCAGGTGAATTTCCAAGCATCTGATTGGCTTGCACCTATTACCCATAAGATAAAATTGAAACTTTGGAGACAGAATTAGGAATGATTTTGGCTTTTAAAGAATTGTGTAGAAAACCTCAAGTCTTGTTACAGTAGTTTAACAGCCATTCCCCATGTTTCTCCCAGGCTGTCCTGCCGGCTTCTATGGCCAAAGGTGTGACAAGAAGTGTAACTGTGCCAACAACGGCAGATGCCACCGCGTGTTCGGCCACTGTCTGTGTGAGCCTGGCCTGTACGGGAAGTTCTGCCATCTAAGTAAGTAACGTTCTTTAATTGTACTCTCAGAAACTGTTAGTGGGTTTATTCTGTTAGTTAGATAGGCTGTTAAATATTTGTTATGAGCTAGAAATATGGTGGGGTCGTGGTGTGATGGCAGAACATTCGTCTCAGAGCCAAGAGGTCCCAGGTTTGAATCCTGCCAAGTCACCAAACTTGTGCCCTTGGGAAAGGCACTAGCTTGACACGACTTTTCTTACTTCGCTTAGTTGAAAATGAGTATGCCAGAATGATCATTATCATGATTGTGGGCCTTAGAGGAAAAACCAAACCAACCAAATATCCCAACAGCATCATTTACATGTGTACCACCAAATGTAACTCATTTAGGCAATCTTAGACATATTAGTACATGTATATTGAGTTGAGTAGACAAATTGATGTTAACATGTTATAATTAAAGAAAACTTACTGTTGTTTAGGCTGTCCAGTGTTCTCCTATGGGTACGGGTGTTCTGAGGAGTGTGACTGTGTGCGTGACCACGCCACGGCCTGCGAACCCAGGCTAGGGACGTGCCTCTGCAGACCGGGCTACGTCGGCACCAGATGTGAAAACAGTGAGTCCTGCAACGTTCATTTCATTTTATGGAGTTGGTTGATCAGTTAGCATATAATACTACAACCAGGGCTCAACAACTACCATAAAGCCGTTGTTACTTATACATGGCAAAGGTCCAACATTAGCCAGACAATCCTTATTTGAATTTATGTAGTAACAAATCAATTTGGACAACTCAGCTGGGGCTTTCTCATACAATTTTACAGAACTGTTTGTCACTCTTTTTGTTTGGGAGAGATCTCCTTTTAATCAATGTAAATGGAAAAGTCTACAACTTGTGGCATGACAATGTATGTGTCTAGTTGCAAGACCAATGTAAGTGAATGTTTTCAATGATTTATTGTTTTTGACTGTTATTTGATTGTTGTTTATTGCCAAACCCAGAATGTGACACAGGTTTCTATGGTGAAGGCTGTAAACAGAAGTGCCAGTGTCCAGAGGGAACAGAGTGTAACCACGAGGACGGGAACTGCCAAAGACAGTGTCCTGCAGGATTCTATGGGCAGGACTGCGACAAACGTGAGGAAAAATTATGAATTACAATGCTATATAGTTTTATGATCAATTTTCCTTAAACTTATAAGAATTATATACTGTATACTGGTGTTGGTTGAATTTATCTGTTTCTAAAAAAATTGTTCCTGATTCATTATTGTAGTACTTCAACAAAATTCTAGTTGTGCATGTATCCTACTGTGTGCAAGAAGTTGTAAAAAATGGAAAAGAAATACTGCATAATGAGAGAATATGCGATATGTCTGACTCAAAGAGTGAAATGGCATGCACTTCAACATAATTAAAGCAAACCAAACTCATAGTGCATGTTATGTATAGTTAAAGTGCCCAAAACTGAACAAATGTTGTAAAATTGCTGATATTCATTAATGGTTATTTTCTTTTCCCTAGCCTGTTCCAAGGGAAGATATGGGCCCAACTGTGTGTATAACTGTGACTGTGGGATCGGTGACTGTGACAAAACTACAGGAGACTGTATCTGTAAGGCTGGCAAGATGGGACCTCAGTGCACAGAGAGTAAGTACAGGGCTACACAGAGTACATTCCTTCACTACAATTCAGATGGTAACCTGGAAGATTTTAGGTATCGCATACTGCATCTCAAATGATCAAGTACAGAACAGTGTCAAGCAAAACATAGGTCCAAATGAAGACCTCTAAGCCATAGTAAAGAAATGAAAACTTCAGTGATACCATCTAACCACATTAAAGAAACAAAAACTACAGTGATATGGCTACGTATCAATGGTCATTGGGACTAGCCAAAATCATTATGCTATAAGCTGGAAGAAAGAGGGGTAAGGCAATGGAAAAGTTGGACAGATATCAGAGAATGGACAAAAGCAATAAGAAGTCAGAACAGAAAACAAACTGAGAAATGTGGACAAAAGTTAGACACCCAGATACACAAAAAGATTGTTTATCAAGCAACTAGATAGGTTTGAAAACTGTCAAACGTTTCAAGTATATACTAGTAGTATCCACTACTTTCGTCAGTGACTAGGATAACAGAGAAGGGTGGAGAAACTTGGTCAAACTGATACCTTGCTAAGTATTTTTTATAAGTTCTACAGATTTGTATCTCTGTACCCCCTTTGAGTCTGTTTTCCATGAGTGCCACACCTGGCCGCCCTTAATGAGACCTGAGAGTATTAAGTTCTGCACCTTTGCTGACTTGGTGTTGACTAAACTGTGCCCTCCCAACTCCCAATCTTCTAATGTTTCACCTCTGACTTAGTCTGGCCCTGACCTGGTCTTTTCTGGTAGACACCCTTCTGTGCTATCTTGTTATTCAGGGCTAATTAGCTGTTACATTTCAATACAGTGTACTAGTAGGTATTTTTCAAACCATGGAAGTATTGTATAATTACAGACAATACTTTCAAGTCTTGGTCTTATGATTACAGAGTTTCAAGTGTTGGTCTTAGGACGACGTCATCAAATTCTGGGAAATTTGTGAATCAAGCATCAAAGTAACAGTTACTCAATCAACTGGATAGATTTTGAAAACAGTCAGACGTTTCAGGTAGCATTCCCTACCTTTTATCAATGACTCAAAGAGATCTGTAGTCAGCAGCATTTTGATATTTATTATTATAATCAAGGACATATTGACAAAATTTTCTTGATGTACAAGTAATTTTTCTCAACTGTTTAAGAGAATTTTTCACAAAGATTTGTGATATTCTTGATTTTTAGACTGCCCAGAAGGACGGTGGGGCATCAACTGCAGAAACGAGTGTTCCTGTGAGAACGGAGCGACATGTAACATTATCAACGGGGAGTGCGAGTGTCAGCCGGGGTACTTTGGACGCACCTGCACAGACAGTAAGTTAACTTTGCTATCTTAGTAATGAAGTTACGTTTTTTTGTGTGTGTCTCCATTGGTCAACTCAGATAACTGCCCATACATGCTTTCCAGGCACAGTGCAGAAAAGGATTCCTGCCCTGGATGCTCCACTTTGTTTTTGCAGGAACTTAATTCTGTTGTGTTGCTACTGTACTGCTACTTTATTGCTACTGAAGTTAGAACACAACAAAAAGCTCCGTTTTGCCTCCTACTTCGAAATTAAGTCCTAGCAAAAATAAATGAAAGTACAGTACTCTCTGGCACCCAGAGAAACTAGACACACTCTCAAGTAACTAGTAACTGAAGACAAAGTTTATGTCAGACTCCATTGTATTTTACAGACTTGAAATTTCTTTTGGTGTTTCTCCACAGAATTTTGCAAGAAAGCTGTTAATAAAATGTTTGATTAAGGCCACACCAATTTAATTTGTTGGTTCTCGGATTCGCCTCTTCGTTTTTTTCTGATTTGCAAAAAAAAAAAATTGATTCTGGTCCTGAATCAACTGAAAAATGCTCATGTTTTGCCCCCAACAGTTGAGGAAAGTCCATTTCTTCCTAGTTGTTACAGTTTTCCCATCTATCATTGCAGTGGTTTGATTAAAAGTTCAAAATTCAATGTTTAAATTTTAACCCAGCCTTTTGTGTTGACTTCATGGCTCATTCCATAGCATTTAAGCCTATAATAGGATCCCTAGACCTGTTTTTATTTTTTTTTTTTTTCGCCCTGTCGCTTCATATTTTTTCTGAAAAAATCTGAGAACCAACAAATTAAATTGGTGTGGCCTAATAACCTTGTGGCTGCCAGCACCTTGGACCTAAGCATCATCTGAAGACAGATCTTACTTTATATTGTATTTACACGACTTCAGATTTCTTTAAATGTGAATTTTGGCAAGAAAAATGTTACTAAAGCAGTTTTTAACAGCAGTTTTTAACAGCGTTGTGGCTTTCAGCACCTCTAGCCTCCTGACTTTCCTCTATTTCCCTTCCCTGCTACCGGAGATGTTCGTGCAGCAAATCAAAATAACGGCTGGATAAGGTTCTTCCTCGCTGGTTACTTGAGTTGGATTCCTTCTTATTTTCTCAAGTGGCTGGATCAGGGAAGGATTAACAGGCCCTGCTCCTTGTAAGAGAAGACGGCTTCCCTGTTGACTTAGAAGATAAGACTTAATCCAAGGCGTAAGGGGCTCCCTTAAGGTGGTAGATGGAGGTGTAAGGAGGGCATTCCTCTGATCTTATCTGTGTCCTATCTTATTTTGTATCCACTCAGAACAGTTACACCTGACTCTACACAGCGACCCTACCAGTACAGTTCCTTGCTTCTTAGATATTTCAGAGTAAGGTATGGAAAAGGGATATTTAAACAGAAGGCCTGAGAAGAAAACTAGGTTGGACTGTACTCCCTCTGCAAAACTGTGAATTAAGATACAAAATTGCATCCTCAGTCTGAGGTTTCCTCTTTTTTCTTCCAGTTCAACATGAAGAATGAAGGAGAATATGATCTTATGCAATACTGTACGCATGTCAGCTTAAATGGACTGTACATACATGTATGTGTAAATGTGTTATTCTATCAATTTCAGGATGCCCGGTTGGCAGATATGGCCTACAGTGCAGGTTCCAGTGCCAGTGTGAGAATGGTGGAGAGTGTGATCCTGAGACTGGAAACTGTCGCTGCCAGCCCGGCTACACTGGAACATACTGCAGAACTAGTAAGTAAACTGGCAGGCAGAGCCTTACCTCTGCTTCCACTGCCTTTTACCTCCCCACCAAAGCCAGTTACTCATTTTACACCTGGATGGAGTGCAGATAGCTAGTGAAACCCAAGCTCTTTGTCCTGCGCTCAAGGAGCTGCCCACTCCAAGTGGCGGACTAACTATGGAGCCGGCGAAAAGCGAGGCTCAGTCAGGCTAGAGTGCAGAAAGTCATAAAAAATGCCTTTGCCAAAGACACCATATTTAGCTAGGAATCGAAAGAATCAACACTGGAACCTCTTGATCTATTGTCTGCTAGTCTAGCCACTTGGCCATTTGACATCACTAAACTTCACTGTACAGATATTTACTAAACATTTCTTTCCACCCTATGGCCTGTGAAGTGGGGAGCTAACTGTGGGAACTCTCGCTAATTTGGCAGCTTTCTATACTGTACTTGTACTTCACAGAATGATACAAAATGTTTCTCTCCCTACTCTAGCCTGTGGCCTGTTGAAGTGGGGCCCTAACTGTGAGAACACGTGTTACAGCGACAACAGCGCTGCCTGTGATATGTGAAACTTTGCTGTACATGCACATGTGATATAAAATGTTCCTGTTTCTTTCCCTCCCCCTAGCTTGTGGCCTGCTAAAGTGGGGTCCTAACTGTGAGAACACGTGTTACTGTGACAACAGCGCTGCCTGTGATATGTGAAACTTTGCTGTACATGCACATGTGATATAAAATGTTCCTGTTTCTTTCCCTCCCCTTAGCTTGTGGCCTGCTAAAGTGGGGTCCTAACTGTGAGAACACGTGTTACTGTGACAACAGTGCTGCCTGTGACCCAATCACTGGCCAGTGTCTGTGCGAGTCAGGATGGACCGGAGAAAGATGCCATCTGCGTAAGTCTTCCCTTTTCTTCCTTGTCTGCAAGATAGAAAAACTTTGATAGCTTCATGTTGTAAGCAAATCTTGTACCTAAAGGCATGTAAAATCAAGATCTAATAAGCAAATAAGTAAGCTAAAGATACAAACCTTGCAGTGCAAATAGCAAAAATTGTTGCAATTTAACATTTATTTAATACTAGTACCTAAAGTAAAACATTCCTCCAACAGAAGGTATCTGAAGTCCACCTAATAAAAGGTATTATGTTTCGACGTCTAAGGGGTCAGAACATAGTCCACCATATGGCTGTCCCCATCTGAAATGGTTCTCTAATTCATTTTCAAGTAGCATTGTTGCACCAGTCTATTGTAAATTTGACACGACACTTTGACACAGTACTGACAGTTTCTGTATTGTATTTCCAGCCTGTCCACAGGGTACATATGGTCCAGGCTGCCTGCGGGAATGCTCGTGTGAACACGGCGCGAAGTGTGACCACATCAGCGGAGCCTGTGTCTGCACTGAGGGATGGAGGGGCACATACTGCGAGAGAGGTGATTACTTGTATTAATTTCTTCTTCATTGATACATGTAGATTTCAAATTATCATGGAAGTTCATCTGCATTTGTAGAAATCATGGTATTAAGATGAATTTACCAACACAAGGATCAAATTTTCAAAGACCACTGTTGCCTTCATCAGGATGATTAATGACCGATCAGTTCCAAATGTAAACCTGCAAAATTATTGTGCTCGTGAAATTTTTTATACACTACTCTGCCATAATACATAGAGAATACACCGTGTGTTAAGTAGCTGTAGAAGTGAGCCAGAGACCAAGAATGATGTGGAATTCAGTGCTCATGATTGTGTATGCTGACTTCTTCCCTGTGTTGTACAGCTTGTCTGGACGGTTTTCACGACCTGGGCTGCCAGGAAAGGTGTTCTTGTAAGAAAACAACTCTTAATGGCTCAGATTTTAGCTCAGATGCCTACAGTAACAGTTACTGTTATTTTGCCTTGCAGCTTGTCCTGACGGTTTCTATGGCCTGGGCTGCCAGGAGAGATGTGCCTGTAAGAACGGAGCCAGGTGTAACCATGTGAACGGAGACTGCAACTGTCCACCGGGCTGGCTCGGAGAGGAGTGCGAAATACGTAAGAGTTCCATAGATATGTTTAATATTTGTTTGTTTGTTTGTTTGTTTACTTTTTTATCAGTTTTAAGATATGTTTCCCCAGCAATCTTTTGTGAACAGTCATGTCAACAAGATGTAAATGGATTTTTATGTGGTGGATATAGGAACAATTTGATATAGTCAAAGAAATATCCAATAATTATTCACTCTTTCAATTCTATAAGGACTCTAAACCATTGCAAAATAAAGATTGACAATATCTTGGTAGACCTTTTCAAGTCTTTAGCTGGCTAGATGTATGACAAAAATATGCAGGTAGAAAAGAATGTTAGCATTATTCAACTTACAACATACAAGTCATAAATATTTTGATATATAACAAAATTGATTCTTCAAGAACAATGACCTTGACATGACCTTGATACTAATGACCTTGACCTGACCTTGATGTATGATATAATTGACAGCTTGTCAGGGTGCGACCTGGGGTGAGGACTGCACCAACCAGTGCAGCTGTCAGAACGGAGCGACCTGCAACAACATCAATGGGCAGTGTCTCTGCCGACCTGGCTTCAGGGGACAACACTGCGAACAGGGTAGGTTTGTTGGTTGTTTGTTTGTTTGTTTGTTTGTTTGTTTGTTTGTTTATAACAATATCAACGCACAGTATGTGTCCACTGGGCTGTTACTTGTTGCTTCAAGATAGGAAGTATTGATTTGGGTGCTTTGGGTTTGTGTGTCTGTCAATCCAGACAGTAGGTTGACATCACTTGGGTGGGCAGGAATGAAAGGAAGTCAAAAGGTTAGACACAGGAAATGGGGTGAACTTGAAGGTCACGAAAGCCCCAAATACACTGTACTTTGCAAAGTGTGAAATCTCTGATTTTTGGTTCTATCTTGGGTATAAGGTACATATACAATAATATATATTACTAAGTACTAATTCATTTATCTACAAAATAGGCATTAGCACAAGCTTGTTTGTATTCATCATGCACTGGTCTCAATCTTCACATGTTGCTTGTCTTGTGTTACAGAATGCCAGACTGGTTATTACGGAGCAAACTGTGCTCAGCGCTGCATCTGTCGTAACGGCGGGGAATGTAACGCTGTTACTGGGTCCTGTACCTGTCCCTCTGGGTACAGGGGCATCGCGTGTGAACTCAGTAAGTTACTGTTATAGTATACCCCGGTAGTAGAGAGCTTTGTCTAGTGCCTAGCTTGTATACCTGGAGGTCAATGGTTTGAAGCCTGGCTGATTTTTCCTGTCATTGAACTAGTTAATCTATGATAGCCAAAATGCACAAAAAAGATGTTTCGGACTCTATCCAGAGTCCTTAGTTTATCCATGTTTGCTTTTTGCTAGACATTTACATGTAGGTGATTATACATGATTCCTCAAAATCCTTCCAACTGAAAGTTGCTGTATCCAGTTCTAGAAACAGTCCTGATGTTTTTGTTAGGTTGACAATCCATTGGATAGTCTTTCAGCACCATGAAGAATGGCTAATTTTTATCATTTCACATTTGGCTCATTTTGGGCTAATAACACACCCTTTAACTCCTTCTACAACTAATAAAACATCCATTTCCCAAGCCTATGAGTCCATTGGATATTTTTTCAGCACCAAGGAGAAAAAGAAGGCTATTTTTTGTCTTAGTGCATTTCACTCATTTTGGGCTAATAACATTCCATTAAGATCTGTCAAAACACCATATTCCTTGACTAAGAGTCCATTGGATTGTCTTTCAGCACCAAGGAGATAAGCATTTTTGTTTTAGTGCATTTTGGCTCATTTTAGGCCTATAGCATACCCTTTAAGTCCGTCCATGTTTCATAAAATACCATTTCCCATTGAATGGTCTATCAGCACCCTGGAAGAAAACATGGGTCATTTTTGGCACTTCTAGAAACAGTATTAATGCTTTTAAGAACCCATTGGATAGCTTTTCAGCACCATGGAGTCAAAAACTCATTTTAGTATACCGGTAATAACATACCACGTCCATTGCTAATAAATCACCATTCTCCCTGCAGGATGTGACCCGGGTACGTTCGGCATGTCCTGTCGGGAGGTGTGCGACTGTGAGAACGACGGAACCTGCGACGCCGCGACCGGAAAATGCCGCTGCAAGTCCGGCTTCCTGGGAGACAAGTGCGAACAAAGTAGGTCTAGAAATGGTAACATATTATGCATAGCAGGTTGGCAGAAGGTCTTGTCTAAGGATTTCTATTCAGGGATTTGAGGATAACATCCCATCTTTAGTTTTCAAATGTTGTATCGGAAAAGATATCATTTGTAACAGGCAAAATTCTTATGCAGCATTGACTAAACATTCAACAAACCAAGCTGCAAAACTGAAAAATCTTGCCCACATCTCTTGATGTATGATAGTCCTCCATACATGTGTGTATTCATGATGATAATGTACACTTACTGACTGGATGTTTCTTTCTCCAGGATGTGAGGAGGGCTACTATGGGGAGGGGTGCAAGCACAAGTGCCAGTGTGAACACGCAGCCTTCTGTAGCCCAGTGAACGGTCGCTGTACCTGTCTGCCGGGATGGAGGGGCAGACGCTGTAACAAAGGTACACATTGCTGTTTTTACACATACATAAGCAGTATATTAGCAGTGCCACCTAGCAGGGAAATGGTGTACTACAACCTTCTGTAGTCCAGTGAACGGGCGCTGTACCTGTCTGCCGGGATGGAGAGGGAGACGCTGTAACAAAGGTACACATTTCTGTTATTACACATACATTGATGGTATAAGCAGTATATTAGTAGTGCCACCTAGCAGGGAAATGGTGTACTACAACCTTCTGTAGCCCGGTGAACGGGCGCTGTACCTGTCTGCCTGCATTGATGGAGAGGGAGACGCTCTAACAAAGGTACACATTGCGGTTATTACACATACATAAGCAGTATATAAGCAGTGCCACCTAGCAGGGAAAGGGTGTACTACAACCTTCTGTAGTCCAGTGAATGGCCGCTGTACCTGTCTGCCGGGATGGAGAGGGAGACGCTGTAACAAAGGTACACATTTCTATAACGATGACACAGTGCCACCTAGCAAGAAAAGGGAGCACTGCAGCTTGTAAGACCAAACCTAGAATATGCCGTGGCAGTATGTGATCCATACACAAAGAAAGACAAAGATAAACTGGAAAGGGTACAGAACCAAGCTGTAAGAGTTTGTACAAGCAAAGGAGTGCTAGTGTCACGGAAATGAAAACAAACCTACAACAAGAGCCACTGGAAGACAGAAGAAAAATGCCCTGGCTATGCATGATGTACAAATTGAATAACTAATAAACTGGTGGACGTACGTGTACCAACTACTAAATACACCAAAATGTACCTAATACCAGAAAAGAACAAGAAACAGTCATGACTTCAAGTACCAGAGTTATCAACCAAGGATTAAGGTGTTCAAAAACTATCTGGAGTGTTACTCACTGGATCAGGAAAATGTTTTTTTTTCTAAACTGCTTTTTTCTTTTCTCCAGCCTGTGTGACAGGTTTCCATGGATACGACTGTGAGCAGAAGTGCAGCTGTCCCAACGGCCGCCCGTGTCACCACGTCAGCGGCGAGTGCAAGTGTCCGCCCGGCTTCAGCGGGGACGCCTGCGAACGACGTAAGTACTGTTCATACTGAGATCTTTTTTACATGCATGTACATGTATTTTCATATTTGGCCAAACCAAAGATAAAAAGAAGAAGGCAAGAGTCTGTGCAATTCAATTCATCCAATCTGTTCTCAAATCTGATGTAATCTTCCACAACAGATTACATCGGATAGATGGGTCCGTTAGTACTCATCGTTATATTTTTAATTGTTGTTAATATTGTGTAGTTCTATTTGTATGTTTTCTTTTATGGATGCCTGAAATAAAGAAAGAAAGCCATATTTGCATCCAAACACAGCATATTCCACTCTATTTATGACACTCCTTATATCTGTGATATGTAGTGAAATGTTTTAGGCATAAGGAGATATATTCCATCACAGTTCTGAAGATTTTTTTTTCAACAATCTGCACAGCATACCTGTAGCAGTGGGTTGTTGAGTAAAACATTAGACTTCCATGTTGTTGATTGGTTGACCCTTGACCTGACCTTTGTCCCCGCTGTGTTCCGCAGCCTGCCCGGCCGGCACCTGGGGCGACACCTGTAAGAACTTCTGCAGCTGCTACAAGGAGAACACCCGCTGCAACAGGGTCAACGGGAGGTGCGACTGCAAGGAGGGATTCAAGGGAGAGGACTGCGAACAAGGTAATATTGTGTACAAGAGAGCCCTAACAGATTCATTGTACATGTATTTGATGAATCACAATGTCCGCACTTGACACCTTTTATGCCACCTAAGGCTAGTCAAATAAATGGAGCTCTTATTGTAGTTGGTGTACAAAAAGGAAATTACTATGATCTATGGTTATATCTCAGTGTTTCAAGCAATATTCTAACACTTGGGGTCAGCAACCTGTATAAGAATGCATCACATTATGGTACTTTGTGATTCTAGGAGGCTATTGTTTTCAATGGAAAACTTACATGTACACACAAAAGGACATTGTACACACAAAAGTACACTGAAATTAAACCATTGTACGATGTTGTTCCAGTGTGTGAAGCCGGGACGTACGGCCAGGACTGTGCCCACGCCTGTGCCTGTGAGAACGGTGCCGAGTGTGACCCCAAGACCGGCGCGTGCACCTGCCCACCTGGATGGGTGGGGCCCAGGTGTGAACAAGGTAAAACTAAGAGCAATCTTTCTTAGTGTAGCATGTTTCATTCTCTGAATGTTTCCCAGAGGAAACAAGGTAAAGGTCTCATAGCCTTTTGCGGACGTTTGGGCAGTGGGTTGATCCACTGTGTCTAAGGCACGGTATACTAGCAATAATTTTTTTTTTAACCAGATACATGCAAATTATTTGAAGACATTATGCAAATTATTGGTAGGCAACTCAACCAACTGTCACACACTTTTTCCTAGCCATGCTGACGACAGCTCATATTGGAAGGGAGAGCCCATCCCTTTTCTCCAACCTCCTTTTACCTTCCCTCCATCCATCCCATAAATGCAGTTATTTTGGTAAACTTGAAGTTGTAGGTATGCAGTCTAAAATTGAAATGAAATCCAAATAAATTGGCTTATCCCCCGTTATGGTTATTCTACTCCATGTGTTTGACCTTGAGCATGTTTGACCTTGCAGAGTGCCCTCCCCACAAGTACGGACAGAACTGTGAGAAGTCATGTGACTGTCATAACGGCGGGAGCTGCCATCACATCACGGGGGTGTGCAGCTGTTCTGCAGGCTTCTACGGTGACAAGTGTGAAACACGTAGGTGACGTTTACATTGCTCTAAGAAAAATCAAACATACCCCCTAACTAAGCCAATAACTCAAGCAACTGGATATGACTTTGGAAACGTCCAGACATTTCAGGTAGTATCCACTAGCTTTCATCAGTGGCACTAGAGACTTGCAGGAGAAAGGCAGGTTTATGAGCACGAACTGACAATTTCCAAAATCATATCCAGTTGCTTGAGTAACTGTTTTTGGTGTATCTTATTACCTGGATGTCTAACTAATGTCACTTCAGAATATTCTTGAGAAGGCATAGATAACACTCATTTTATGTGGCAGTCTGACTTAGTTACTAGTCTTATGGTACTTTGCAGTATCACAAGAAATGTATTACATCTAAAATGCATTTATGCCCTCAGCTTTTGCTTGTACTATGGGGAAATGTATTTGAGTACTCATAGAGAATCTCCTGGGCTAAATGTTTCTTGCTCTGTTTCCAGCGTGTCCTGTGGGCAGGTTTGGCGTCGGCTGCAGCTCTGAATGCGCGTGTGTGAATAACGGGCTATGTGACCCCAGGAACGGCACCTGTAACTGTGCAGTGGGCTGGACAGGTGACGTCTGCAGTCAAGGTTAGAAACTTCTCTTGTCTATGAACCTATGAAGGGTTGCACTCCTATCTCCAACTTCCCCATGTTTCAACAGGCCTTTGTTTTGACACACCTATGTTCTGAGTCAAACTTCCAACACCCCGCTATGTTCTGACAACTCAACGTACAAAATAAAATGTATGCTCCGACAACCCTCATCCAATGTCAGAATTGTCTGCCCCCCTGATGTTTTCCAATTCTTTTTTTGTGTGGTCATGAATTAAATTTCAAATGATATTTTTAAATATCATAAAAAGATGTAATAATATTAAAGCAAATCTATAACAAGTGTACATATTTATATTTGTAAAATAAACTTTTACAAAGAATTAAGGGTAAAAAAGTTCAATTCTGTGTAAACGCAAACTCTGCTGTTCCTGCTCAGGAGGCGGCTGGATGTTGGGTGGGCAGCAACCGTAAAGCTAAACAAGTTCTAAGAAATGTTGTAGTATCCTTTTTCTATAGTAGGGCCATTTTACATGACATTGTATTTTCTTTTCCTTTTCAGAGTGTTCGTTTGGCAGGTTTGGTTCGAACTGTGAGCTGGACTGTAACTGCCAGAACGGAGCCGGATGCGACCGGTTTACCGGCTGCTGCAAATGCACACCTGGCTTCTACGGACAGTTCTGTGAAATGAGTAAGTAACCCATGCATGTGTACTGTAGCATTATAAAACACACACACATACACTGACTTGTAACTGATGAAAAGTCTTTCTAATACTACCTGTCAATTGTAAAAGTTATCTAAGGGACCACCAAAAAGGTCCATATGTAGTGGTGGCCACTAATAAAGGTTTGACTGTATACAACATAGAGAGTTAACAATCAACTCTCAGCTAATCAACTATCAAATGCAGCCTAGTAATCCTCAAAGTATGCACATTTCAGATATCTAGTTGTTTTGTACATTCTCAAGGCCACAGAAATTGGTCAGAAATAATGGATATTGATTGTTATCCTTTCTTCCAGGTTGTCCGGATGGTTTCTATGGTGACCAGTGCCAGAAAGCCTGTAACTGTCTGAACGGCGCGACCTGTGACCCCACCACAGGACAGTGTTTGTGTCCGGCTGGCTTCAGGGGTGACCTGTGTCAGGAAGGTCAGTTCAAGGTCACGATATGGTATCCTAGCTGTCAATGTTATTCAGAAATCATTTTTTTCTGCACTCTCATGTATGACCGTTTTGTTTTATTAAAAGAATTAAATAGAATTGTAAATGAGCAATATTATTTGCTTATGTCAGGTATTCTTTTGTAAGTGAGCTGAACTAAAGAAAAGCAGTGAAATACTTAGTACTTATAGTAGATGAACTTTCATGCTAGTACTTAGTAGATATCTTGACTTTAACAGTTTGAAGCAGATTCCAAATTTACTGGTAGGAGCTTATTTCCATAGTTAGATGGGAAAAAGAAAAATAAATTTTAATCTAGGGTGTCAAGTGTTCAGTCGTATCGTCCTTTTTTCCATCCAGGTTGCCCGTCAGGTCTGTATGGCCCGAACTGCCTGAAGTCCTGCGACTGCACGAGAAGTGAGAACTCGTGTGACGCTGCCACAGGAAAATGTCACTGTCCACCCGGATACGGGGGAGACAAGTGTGAAAGAAGTGAGTATTTAGTAAAGGATGATTTAACAGAGTATTTCTAACAGTGCACTTTCCATGTATTTTATGTTAGAATGGGGAAGCTTTCTTGATTTTACATGGACCTTATTAACATTATGTAAAATAGGTAGTGACAAAATTGCAAACAAAGACAACTGTTTGAAAGTCCAGAATTTTTAACTTCGATTATGTCCCTTCGGATCAATATACTAACTTGAAACCCAGATTTTATATATGGGATGCTTAGAGATTTATCCATTGCGGACATGTCAATATCCAATGATACAGTCTATGTGTATGCCTCGCTCTGTTTTAACAGTTACAGTGGAAAGTTGACAATACCAGTAACAGTTGACCACAGTCACAGCAGATTAATGTAGAAACCTATAATGCCCATTACTTAATGTATTTGATATGTTTCCACACATTCTAAGTGTTATTTTGTTGTATTCCCAGCCTGCTATGAAGGAGAGTATGGTCCAGACTGCATGTACATCTGTGACTGTGAACACAGCGCTCGATGTGACGCTGTCACAGGCTCCTGTATATGTGTTAACAGATGGTACGGCCCCAGCTGCACTATAGGTAGGTCACATCACAGCTTTTGCATTATCATTTGCACTGTAACAGTGGGGTTCAAGCGCCGCTAACTGATCCATTCCAATGGGTCTGGACCTTTTGGCGTAGTCATTAGCGTGCTGGTGTCGTAAGTTGGCTGCCCGGGTTCAATTCCCGGCTTCCCGGGAGTCGGGTTTTCCTGTTTCTACTCACTCCTGTTTGTTTCACTGGTTCCTCCACCAGGAATCGAACCCGGGCCTTGGCAGTGAAAGTGCCAAATCCTAATCACTAGACTGAACCCCACTGTTACAGCACTTTGATATTAGTACATAAAACAAAAATGAGATTTAACAATGATGAGCAAACCTGGATTCAAACTTTTCGATCCAGATCTGAAGCAGGACGTTTTGTTGATAGGCATCTGCATGCTACTATTGTACAATTACATTATTTGTTGTTTTGGCTAACTGTACTATTTATCATGTCCACAGGAGGACCGTTGAGATCTGGACATACCGTCATCAGGACTTTCTCTGCTTATTCACTGGAAAGGGAAGAGTTTGATTCGGGCTACTCGGGAAGATAATATGGAGAAACATGAAATTTTGAACAAAACCCCCAAAAATGTCATTATTCGCTGGTATGCACTGCACTGAGCGTCCGGAGTACATGTTTGTGTGGAGTTGGTACAAATGTGATATATTATATCTATATATAATGTTATATTATGTAATGTGCAAAGCTAAATGCAGATGTTGTCAAAGGAAAATAAGAAAGACTTAAAGAAAGGTGGCAGGTAGATAGATAGTCCTAAGTGTCTTTTCAAGGTGTCTTATGTAAAATACTTGCTAGGAAGGTGGCACATGTTTATGTAGAAAGGGTACCAAAGATAGGGTCTAATTGTTGAAACAGTATATATATAAAATCATGTCTAACCAATTGTTTTTAATGAGCTTTCCTGGATAAGCCAAGTCAGCACACAACATTGTATACAGAAGGTTCTGTGATTGGGACCAAAAATGCTGTTTTGAGGAAGAAACTTGAAGATTGCTGTATAACACTGACAAAAGCTGAAGAAATAATAGTGATGGAAGGAATTGTATAGATATAACGTTTACATGAACAGTACTTACACAGATAAACACAGTGTCAGCGTTAGGGTGAAAAACTCTTCATACATGTCAAAGCATGTAAAAGATCACTTATGAATGGAGACCCAAGTTATGAAGAGAGAAAGCAAAGCGAGAGAACAAATTTTACATGTTTTACACAAACAAAATTAGTTTTAGACTAAGAAACAAAATTATAAGAATGTGTCATAAAAACATCTTAAAACCAGCTTGATTTTTTCACGTACTTTCTTTGTATTTGGGACCGAGTTTCATGTAGTGTGGCCTTATTAAGCTCAATGTAGGAAAGATCTGAGTCACAATGAGCCGTTTTAAAGGAGGGAACTTGCTTTGTGTCAGAGTCACAGAATAGCAACATATGACTTGCCTGTATGTAGCATGTTAATGTTAGTACACATATCTCGTATAACAGTATTCTTATATTGAGGACAATTCCAAAGACACTAAAAACTCAGGCAGAAAAAATCTTACGAATGTATTATTAAGTTAGATTCCTGAGTGGAAGCTTATAGTATGACTACACCATTTACATATGGCTCGTCTAAACTATATTATACTATGTATAACATTTAGTATACCCTTTTCGAAGACCATACAAGTCCTCCATGGATTTGTTTAGCTGAGTGCAGGCAGCGTTTTGTTGTCATGCCATAGCAACAAGAACGAAACACTGTCAACCGCAAGATACTGTAAATTCACTTACTTTCGAAGTGGTTTTATTACCACTGCAAACGTGTCAGGGTTTACAGTATAAGGTACTGAAAAGAAGCAACAAGATTACGGAAGCGGAACATCATGTGTTTCTTGCTAGGGAGCTGTTATGTTGTAAACAACTGTTGTAAGCAACTGTTTGTTCTAAACAAGGACACGTGGAACATAAATATTTATTCTCCATGTAACACCAGGGCACCCATGGTGATGCAATCCTTATATATATATCCATGGATATGTTATCCTACACATCAGGGCACAGAGTATACTATATGGACAAAGAGTGGATGCCACTCAGTTTTTATCTATATTTCCGATGGTGCTGTTTTGTATTCTTCCTTATATAGTCTTGGGTAACCCAACATGTACCTTATTGTGGTAAATAGACTATTTTAACCTTGAAAGTTTTGAATCTTACAGGAAAAAGTCTGTAGGTTTTACCTTGAATTTTAAGAATGTTTTTAACTACACATTTGTAGGTATTGTTGACTTTATTTTAACCTAAAAGAATTCTATGTTACACTTATATATTCAAACATGGTCCAACAGTTGCATTGTTTTGTCTTCCTGGAAAAAATACCCCAAGGGAAAGAATTTGTACATTTATTTGTCATTTTGTATAGAACTTCCTTGTATTCTTGTTATGCTTAGAATTGTAACCATACATTATTGTACTATTATTTTGTTGTCTTTATGTATTATTTCTTGTAGGTAGCCTCCATTTGTTGGATTTTGAGCTTTGCTGAATATTTTATTTGTATGAAGATGACACGCTATGCTAACGCACTTGCTGTCTGTGCTAATTAAGAAATCGATACATTTATAGACCACCGCCCCAGAGGCGTCGCCAAACATATTCAAACAGATACCAGTATGCTAATTAGGGAGAAAACCCACTGTGATTGGCTCCTGCCATCCTCCTTCGCAGGGCCAAAATCCTCGGTTCCCCTCCGGTTACGGGAGGGGAACCGAGGATTTTGGCCCTGCGAAGGAGGATGGCTCCTGCCTAACCAATCAGAAGCCGTCTTGAGCAGGTGTAATTCCGAATAACTGACCGCTATGTCTTACTGTAAAGACCACTGTATACAGTATGTACACACGAGTAGATTGGATGGTCTCCAGTAACATATAAACATTACATTTCTTTCCACTATTTTGATTGTAGATATTTGGATCAACATTAAACGGTGACTGGGCAGTAACCACTGCAAAATGTTGGCTTTGGGTTATCTCTATTGTTTATTTATTTTAATTTTTTACAAAGTAAAAGTGTGCTATATCTCTTAAGTGAGGTAAAGAATGAGCTTGGGAAACACCATATTTCGACACCATATGCTCCAGAGTTGTATATATTAAATATTGATGCGCCAAAAAGCAGTTACTAGTACTCAAGCAACGGTCAGACGTTTCAGCTAGTATCCACTAGCTTTCGTCAGTGACTGAGAGACTAGAGGAGAAATGCAGGTTTATAAGCACAAATACTGCTTTTTGGCGTATCATATCACCTAGATGTCTAACCTTCATCGACGTATTAATATTAATGCACCAACGGCCCTCAAGGAGGCCAAGGAATAGGTGAGGTGAATAATGGATTATTCAAACGTTAAAACACGTCAACAAATGTTAGTAACAGACAATAATTGCCAGGTACCACGTAGTATTTACATTACAGACAAATCACTTCGGACTGAAACGTATCTCTCTTTCCTTGTCCTTCAATTCTTCCAACTGTTCTTTCAGCATGCCTGCTTTTTTTCCTCCTTCCTTCAGTCTTTTCTTCAGTCTTTTCTCTCTGTTTTTCAAGGACGGCCAATCTTTGTTTTTCCATGACGTCATCGATGTTTTTTTTTCTTCCGCACGAGTGCTGGCAATTCTCTGCAGAGGGGGGTGGGATGCAATGAGATGAAATACGTTTCCCCCTACATTTGACACAAACTAAAGATAGATAAACCAACTGGATAATGTTTATTTTTCGTTCTGCAAAGGATGCAGTGATTGAACCTCCTTGGGTCCCCACAGAAACTATATGGTCTAACCCGATCAGAATATGCATACTTAAAAGTATAATGCAAATGCTGATATCATATGGGTGAGTCAATTGTATATTAGGAGGTACGCATTTTCACATGCGAAACAGCCCGAACCTTACTCTACTCAAAGAATTCTAAAAAAAATAAAATTTGTAAAGGGATAATCAAAATAGCGAATCCCCCTTATCAAGGCCATACCATGCTAATTCTGAAGTAAAACAGCTTCTGCAGTAAACAACATGCTTATGTAATGATCAATATTCAAAGATTGAGCCCCAGACAATTAAGATCACACCTATGTATAAGACTTAAAAATCAGAAACCGTTTACCACACCCTGATACTGCTCAGCTGCTGAAACACGTATCCTACAAGCACCAACAGGAGAACCAAAAATTCTTCTCGACTTCCCACAGCGGGCTCTTCAACTGCCAACCAAAGTATCCTGACTAAACTGCAGACCGAGCTTGGACAAACTCCAAAGGTAAAGTCTCTATTGTACAGTCAGCATTACTTAATCTACAGTATCTGTAGAAGTGAACTGTATTTCTGGACAAAGCGATTTGGAGTCGGAGCACTGAGTTCTTTCAAATGAAGTGAACCTTTCATTTCTGAAAGGTCCAGGCAAAAAAAATACAACTTTCAAGCTCTGGTACACAAATGCCACATACACAAGTGACATTGGTGCTGCGTAGATGACATAATTTCTGGTGTCATCCATGAAGTTACATGATGTACATTTGACACAAACTAAAGATAGATAAAACCAACTGGATAAGGTTTATTTTTCGTTCTGCAAAGGATGCAGTAACTGAACCTTCTTGGGCCCCCACAGAAAGCATATGGTCTAACCCATAGGCAGGCAGATAATTAGAATATGCATACTTAAAAATATAATGCAAATGCTGATATCATATGGGTGAGTCAATTGTATATTAGGAGGTAACGTTACGCATTTTCACATGCGAAACAGCCCGAACCTTACTCTACTCAAAGAATTCTAAAAAAAATAAAATTTGTAAAGGGATAATCAAAATAGCGAATCCCCCTTATCAAGGCCATACCATGCTAATTCTGGAGCAAAACAGCTTTTGCAGTAAACAACATGCTTATGTAATGATCAATATTCAAAGATTGAGCCCCAGACAATTAAGATCACACCTATGTATAAGACTTAAAAATCAGAAACCGTTTACCACACCCTGATACTGCTCAGCTGCTGAAACACGTATCCTACAAGCACCAACAGGAGAACCAAAAATTCTTCTCGACTTCCCACAGCGGGCTCTTCAACTGCCAACCAAAGTATCCTGACTAAACTGCAGACCGAGCTTGGACAAACTCCAAAGGTAAAGTCTCTATTGTACAGTCAGCATTACTTAATCTACAGTATCTGTAGAAGTTAGCTGTATTTCTGGACAAGTTTGGAGTCAGAGCACTGAGTTGTTTCAAGTAAAGTACACCTTCTATTTCTGAAAGGCCCAGGCAAAAAAATCAACTTTCAAGCTCTGGTACACAAATGCCACATACACAAGTGACATTGGTGCTGCGTAGATAACATAATTTCTGGTGTCATTCATGAAGTTACATGATGTACATTTGACACAAACTTAAGATAGATAAAAGCAACTGGATAAGGTTTATTTTTCGTTCTGCAAAGGATGCAGTAACTGAACCTTCTTGGGCCCCCACAGAAAGCATATGGTCTAACCCATAGGCAGGCAGATAATTAGAATATGCATACTTAAAAATATAATGCAAATGCTGATATCATATGGGTGAGTCATTGTATATTAGGAGGTAACGTTACGCATTTTCACATGCGAAACAGCCCGAACCTTACTCTACTCAAAGCATTCTAAAAAAATAAAAGTTGTAAAGGGATAATCAAAATAGCGAATCCCCCTTATCAAGGCCATGCTATGCTAATTCTGAAGCAAAACAGATTTTGCAGTAAACAACATGCTTATGTAATGATCAATATTTAAAGGTCGAGCTCCAGACAATTAAGATCACACCTATGTATAAGACTTAAAAATCAGAAACCGTTTACCACACCCTGATACTGCTCAGCTGCTGCAGCACGTATCCTACAAGCGCCAACAGGAGAACCAAAAATTCTTCTCGACTTCCCACAGCGGGCTCACCAACTGCCAACCAAAGTATCCTGACTAAACTGCAGACCAAGTTAGGACACTCCAAAGGTAAAGTCTCTTCTGCACAGTCAGCATTACTCAATCTACAGTATCTGTAGAAGTGAACTGTATTTCTGGACAAATTTGGAGTCAGAGCACTGAGTTGTCTCAAATAAAGTAGACCTTCTATTTCTGAAAGGTCCAGGCAAAAAACTTTCAAGCCCTGGTACACAAATGTCACCTACACAGGTGGAATTGATGCTCTGTAGGTAGCTCTTAAGGACAGACACAAATTTAAGACTTGTGTTCACCGCCACCTCAGTAATATTGGATAGCGTCCTTGTGACAGCTGCTAAGCGGAGACGTGGTATTGAATAGATAAAAAATCATGATAGTTTCTGGTGTCTTAAACCAGCTATGTGCCAGGGGTATAGTTTACGTTTGGATTCATGACACAACAGCAAAGATTCCGAGCAGTACAGGTAAGACTTGTCTGCTGCAGAACTGGCTATCAGTGAAGGCACTTTGATCTACATTGCACATGTAACAATCATCTTTTATAAACTTAAAGCTTATTATATAGTGAGGATTACCCTACTACTGTATTACTAGGTAGCAACGAGTTCCACTCGTTATCATAGGAAGGGGAAAATATTTTTTTTTAAATGATCCCAATCCTGGGTTGAAGCACGTGCACTAGAAGGCATATGGCTGCTTTTGAGTTGGTATTACTGTATTAGGTATTAAGTAGTTGGTTGGTATGTTCAATAGTCATTTTGCATACCAGGCATACTATCAATAGGCATGTCTATCAATAGTCATACTCACCAGCAGACATGCTCAAGACAATTTTTTTCTACTTTTTGTTGTGCAACATTTCCAGTGATGCTAGATTTTTTAATGAAGTCAAAATGACTCATATGATTGTGATATATTGCGATTGTGATACAGATATTAAGCAGCCATTGCTGTAATTGTCTATGGGTAATTCTAGGTCCAGTGCAACTTTCATGTTAATAATTTTTGTTGGCAGGACACATGATGGAAAGAATGCTTCGACGCTTCCTGATTTTCCTTCTCATCATCCTGAAGGAGCCAAACCTGTCCGAATCCCGCTGCAGGTATTCTTACATAACCCCTGGGAAGCTCACCCACTTCCCTGAGAACATGGAAACAGTGTCCCTTAAGTACTGTAGAATTACTAACATTCAGCCTGGTGCATTCTCAAATGTAACCAAGCTCACAAAGTTGCACCTAGATAAAAATCCAATGACTAACATTCCGTCTGGTATATTCTCAAACCTATCAAAGCTCACAGAGTTGTTCCTAAATTACAGCCAAATAACTGACATTCATGCTGGTGCATTCTCAAATCTACCAAAGCTCATCAACTTGGACCTAAGCTCTAATCAAATAACTAACATTCAGCCCGGTGCATTTTCAAATCTACCAATGCTCGATAGTGTGAGCTTAGCTGGCAATCGAATAACTAACATTCAGCATGGTACATTTTCAAATCTTCCAAAGCTCACAGTTTTATACCTAGACTCAAGTAAAATAACTAAAATTCAGCCGGGTGCATTTTCAGATTTGCCCAGTCTTACAAAGGTGATGCTGCTTAACAACAAAATAGCTAACATTCGGTCTGGTACATTCTCAAATCTACCAAACCTCGGGAGGTTGTACTTTAAAATCAATCACATAGCTAATGTTGAGCCTGGTGCATTTTCCAATCTACCTGAGA